TACAATTGGAACATTATGGCAGCTTTAGATGCATAAAATTGGCACACTATAGCAATCTGCTTTAGATGCATACAATTGGCACACCGTGGTAATCAGTTTTAGAGGCATAAAATTGGCACACCATGGCAATCCGCTTTAGATGCATACAATTGGCATAACATGGCAGTTTTAGAGGTATAATTGTGGGATATCATGGCAGTTTGAGAGGCAGAAAATTTGCACATCATGGCAATCAGTTTTAGAGACATACAACTGCTTACTCACAGACTAAGAATCAGAAGTGCTGTTGTCCTGCTCTTTCATCCAGGCACCTCACGTTGATTGTCCCAGTGGTGGAACTAATGTAGAGAGGGCCCTGGTGCAAGTATGTTTTCTAGGCCTTCCTTTAGTGCAAGAGTGGTCAAAAGGTAGATCTCCATCTGTCGGAGAACTTCAACAATACAATGCCAGATGGGGATCTACCATTTGCACATTATTGCAGGGTTATATTTGTGAGCAGTGTTTGAGCATTTGAATGTAATCATATTTTTGTATTAAGTATATGTGTGCATGTATGGGTGTATTTGTATGTACTGTTGCCATTGGAATGTAGTGGTGTACTTGTTTGTAATGTTTGAGTCTGAATGCATGGGTGTTTGTATGTAGTGTAGGACTTTAAATGCAGGTGTGCTTTTTGTGTGTAGTGTTGGTGTTTGAATGAAGGGGTGTTTGTAGATAATTTTAGGGTTTTAATGCAGGGGTGTGTTTGTATGTAATGTTTGCTTTTAAATGCAGTGCGTCTGTAGTGGATGCAGTGTGTGTATATTGTGTTTATAAAATATACATATACACAATGTGTTTGGATGTAAGTATGTTTTTTGTATGGAGTATGTGTGCAGTGTATACACATACAGAGACACACACAGACACACAGTTTCCCACACACCGATACAAAGACACTCATGTAAACAGATACACACAATACACACAGACACGCAGAGACAGGAGGTGAGGGTGACAGTGTATGGGAGAGGTGAGTGACCGTGTGGGAGGGAGTGTGTGTGCTGGTAACCGTGTGAGGGCAGGGAGAGAAAGGGTTACAGCGGGGGGGGGAGGGCAGGGGAAAAAGGCTACAGCTGCTGGGAGAGGGGGCAGGAGTGAAGGGGTTACAGGCAAGGTGGAAGCCAAGGAGTGAAGGGCTTACATCATGGGAGGCTAAAATGAAAGTAGGGGTTGGCATTGTGGGAGGCAAACAGTGAAGGCTACACTTGTGGGAGGTTTATGAAGGGGTTACACAGTGGGAGGGGGGCAGCCATGCGAAGGGGCTACATTGTGTGAAAAGGCGAAAGGAAGGGGTTACATTGTGGGGAAGGGACGGGATGAAGGGGTTACAGGGAGAGGGGGACACAGGGAGCAGTTACAGGAGAGGGGACAGGGAGTGAAGGGGGTTACAGGAGAGGGGGGACAAGGGGAGGAAGGGGTTACAGGAGAGGGGGGGACAGGAGGAAGGGGTTACAGGAGAGGGGACAGGGAGTGAAGGGGTTACAGGAGAGGGGGGGACAGGAGTGAAGTGGCCATGGTGGGGGAGGGGGGACAGGAGTGAAGGGGTTACAGTGGGGGAGGGGACAGGAGTGAAGGGGTTACAGTGGGGACAGGGAGTGAAGGTGTTACAGTGGGGGAGGGGGACAGGGAGTGAAGGTGTTACAGTGGGGGAGGGGGACAGGGAGTGAAGGGGTTACAGTGGGGGAAGGAGGACAGGGGGTGAAGGGGTTACAGTGGGGAAGGAGGACAGGGGGTGAAGGGGACAGGGAGTTAAGGGGTTACATTGGGGGGGGCGGCTGTGTTCTACCTGTAATAACTTCCCTGGTGGTCTAGTGGGTTAACGTTCCGGTCTGCAGCTCCGCCAGGTGCAGAGCTGCAGACCGTGTAATAAAAGTCTCACGAGCGCCCAGAGTGTTGCCATGGTAACGCTCTGGGTGCTCGCAAGACTTATCACACGGTCTGCAGCTCTGCACCCGGCACGACCCACAGTTTGGGAACCGCTGCACTAAATAGTTTTTTTTTTTTTTTTTATTAAAAAATAAAAGATACTGAGGGGAAAAAAAAAAACAATGCACAAAGATAACTCAACTTTAGGTTAATCACAGACTATACACTGATAAACCACAACATTAAAACCACCTGACAAATATTGTGTATGTCAACCTTGTACTGCCAAAACAGCTCTGATGTGTTGAGGCATAGGCTCCACAAGATCCATGAACGTCTCTTTAGTATCTAGCACCGAGAAATAAGCAGCAGATCCTTTAAGTCCTGCAAATTGTGAAGTGGCGACCTCCATGGATCGGATTTATAGTTCCACAACATCCCACAGATGCTCAATTGGTTTGAGATCTGGGGAATTTGGGGGACAAGGCAACACACCTTGAAATCTTGACCATGGACCTTAAACCATTCCTGAAAAATGTTTGCCGTGTAGCAGAGTATTATCCTGCTGAAAGAGGCCACTGCCAAGAAGGATGTACATCAAGCAGTCACACATGCGGGCCACAGTACATATATTTGCAGCCCGCCTGCCCTGGGACCACTTTCAGCTGTGACTGTGACTAGCAAGACAGGAAAAATATTTCCTGATTCTTGCTCTCCCGGCCACAAGAGGGCAGAGTGACTGTATGTCTGCTGAGCAGACTAGAGCAGCCACTCACCCTTCCCTCCTGCTGGCAGTGCCAAAGGAGCATCTGGCCTGCTTCAGCAGGGCTGGAGCTGGAAATGGAGGACAGATAGCAAATCGTAAGGTAGGAGAAGAGGGGCTTGGGGGCACTGTATTAATTTGAGGGTGGAAGGAGGCACTTAATTTGAGGGGGGGAGGGGGCAAGTGTGTTAATTTGAGGGAGGGAGGGGGCGCAAGTGTGTTAATTTGAGGGAGGGAGGGGGCAAGTGTATTAATTTGAGGGAGGGGGACAGTGTGTTAAATTGGGGGGATGGCAGTGCAGAATGGTGGTGGTGGGGGCGCAAAGGGAGGGCAATGTATTAAAGTAGAGTGGTGGGAGTGGGGTCAGTCTATTCAATTAGAGTAGAGGGAGGAGGGGCGTGTATCAGATTAAGGGGCAATGTATTAGATTGGGTGTAGGGGGCAGTGTATGGTGTGTTGGATTGGGTCTGCATGGAGTTGCTGAATGCTCCCCATGGAGATGCTGATTGGTCACACAGCTTTTTGCCACGCATGCACAATAGCCTCCCAATGCTTTTCTATGGGAAAGCATTGGATTGGCTGAGATCATCAAGTTTGATGAGCTCAGCCAAAGTGAAGAACACACTCTCAGGACTTCAAAATAAACAAGATAACGTAATTTGTTTTTTACAGCTCTGCAACAGCATATATTCACTATTTCAGTCCCATTACCAAACATTTCTTAATATGTCATGGTAGTTGGACTGAAACGTTGTTTATATGCAAATGCATTTCTTAAAATATATTCGCCCTTTTGTTTATTTTGAAGCCCTGCAAGTGCGAGGACATCCAGTGTCAGTGAGGCAACTTTTTTTTATACTGTACTTTTCTAAATATACCTACGTTTCTATGGAAACTGAAGTTTTGTTTTTTTTTGGCCCACATAAAAGTAAACCTTGTTTATTTGGACTGTCTTAGTCTTTGAGTTTGACATGCTTGATGTACATGGTCTGCGTAATTCATCAGACCTGGCAACCTTAATTTGCTCAATGGTCCAGTTCTGCCATTCACATGTCAATTGAAGGGGCTTTTGGCGGCGGTTAGGGGTCATCATGGACACTCTGAATGGTGTGCATCTACACTGCCCCATACACAGCAAACAGATGCACTGTTTGTTCTGACACTTTTTTTTATCATGGCCAGCATAAAAGGTTTCAGCAATTTGAGCTATCGTAGCTCTTCTGTGTGATCAGACTGGCTAACGTTGGTTCTTCATGTGCATTAATGAGCCTCTGCACTGGCTTAAGGCTCTGCCTCTGCTCCCCCCACCAATGTCGTGCTCGCATTAGGACTTCCCCATAGGAAAGCATGGTATGCTTTCCTCTATGGGGGTTTGGGTGACACGGAATGTCCTTAAGCATAGCATGAGGACATCCAGTGTCAGGCAACCAAAAGTCGCCTAACCACCTGTCAGTCAGTCTAGTGGCTGTCTGGTAGGTAGCCACTAGAGATGGAATTAACCCTCCAAGGCAATTATTGTAATAATTACCATTGCAGGGTTAAGGGACTTGGGACACTGCACCCATACCACTTTAAGTAGCTTAAGTGGTCTGGGTGCCTATAGTGTCCCTTTAAATGTTTTACACCTTTTTAATCCATACAAATATTACATCTCTGAAAAACCATTACCATATTGTCACATACTACATGCTTTTTTCTGTTTTGTAGTGTGTGCATTTTAAATAAAAACATGATTGTAACTCCTTTCTTAATCTTTTTATTTGGCTTTCTAGCTCCTAAATGATACAAGCATTTGTAACAAATTCACTTGTTTCGTAAATTACAGGTTTCACACCAAATCACGTCAAAACTGCAAATACTCCTTGAGCACTAAGGTTAGAAGTAGGGATCGACCGATATTGATTTTTTTTTAATTTAAATTTTTTTTTTTTTTTTTTAGAGTCGATACTGATAATCTGTGAACTTTCAGGCCGATAGCTTACCGATACACTCTAGATTTACCGTTTTGAAAAAAGAAAACAATTTCTACACAAATCTACTGTTAACTGACAAGAAGCGGCAGAACAAACCTCCCATCAATGGAACCCTGCAACAGCAAAATCATTCACACTTAGGGGGCTCCAGCCAGCCTCCAGCACAGTGGACTGCACCTGAACAACCGGATCGAATGGGGACCACACCGGAGCGTGAGACATGAATCACTGCCGAAACCCTCGTAGAGAAATTAACATGTTACACACTGTTTTTTTTTGGCAAAGTTTAGTTTTAAGTTAACTTTAGACCATCAGTCTTTTCTACCTTAACATACACACTGAGACACTATGCCACTGCAAATGAGACCACCGCCTGTGACACAGCCTCGGAATACACAAATGACAAGGCACACGGCTCATAGATAGGATACCGACTACAATAGATGAAGCATAACCACAACATCTCACAACACGCTCCAGCACTGTATGCTAACAGCACTAGTAAACTCCACATAAACACACAAATGTATGGACAGCTATAAGGGTAACAGGATGTTCCGCTATATCAAACAGCCCAACAAGAGTACGCCAAAGAGAGACATCCTATAGCCACCTACACAAAACTATGTCCCCTAAGCCCCGCATTTGTTGCATAGGGCAGAAGGTCATCCCAGTTTTTGCCACTAGGACACTGCAAGAAAGCCGGCAAAATCTCAGCACACCAATGATACACGGCTTGACAGTAATAAAGGGTCCTCCCTCGCAACTCAGCCGCCCATGGCAGGACCAACTCTCACACACACTTATCCCCTCAATCCAAGAGCAGCAAACGGTGCATTTCCCCACTGAAAACACAGCACCCGCAACCACAAAAGAGCCTACAAACACTACACATGGAGATTAGGTCACTACGATACCAACCCACCCCGGGTTACAGGGTATCTTAATCTATCCAGCATGACACAAGCCTCGGGCTCTCCCGTTATTAATACTTACCACACACGGTTCCCAATCTTGCTACCAGCATGGGGAATACAGACCAAAATACACCTGCTACCAGGAAGGGTGAATACAGACCAAAATACACCTGCGGCAAGACAAGCATGCATAGTGTCCATATAACGACAGTACCATCTAATACATGACCACTTCTCACGCCAGGATATACACACTATCACTACTTGCATGTATTTCAGACAAACGTTAACTAAATACATAAATACAAAAATGTGCAGTATATACAAAAGCCATGTAAATGATCTCTATTGAATGGTTTTTTTTTTGTATTTTTGCAGTGCATAAAATTATTACAGGCAGGAATGAGGTACCCCAACGGCATTCCTCATGCGTATTGTCATGCTTACAATAAGGGTATCTCATTACATGCACCATTTTCTATTTTATAGCGAAGAAGGAAACAAGTCGCAGGTTAGGTAGATAAACAGTTAAAGATATAAACAGGCTTATGGTAGGGTTCTTTTCTAACCTGTGTGCGGAATTGTAAACATATATGTGGTGGTTATCAGGTTGGAACAAGGCTTAGGTGTACTGTATATGTATGCAGTGTGAGAGGTCTGCGGGGTTGGAGAGTTTGTTATGGTTAGTGCTGTAACGCTGTTGCCTTTAGAAGCAGGGGATTGGGTAGGTAGATCTAAAGATGAGGGAAAACATTTGAGTACTGAACAGGGTTCATATGCAATCAAAAACATTTCTAAGCCCCCTGAGATTACAGTACCCGTTTGTGGCATCAAGACACTTTGAGGGTGCGAGTCCAGGGATGTGTATTGCTATGTTATGGAGTCATATTGCGAGGAAAACCTCCAGTTCCGGGTTGGTTGTTTGGGGCTGTATGTGGTTCCGTGTGGATCTGGGCTCGAGCATGGATGCTTGTTTTCAACCCACTCCGCAGGGTGGGAAAGCGTGGAGGCCCCGGGAGGTCTGGTCATCCGGTCGCGTGGGGGGCTCTGTCTGACCCGTGTGTGAGTATGGGTCAGCGGTGCTTCGCCAGACAGTCCTTCCGTGGCAGAGGATATTTTGGCTGACCTGGGTGTTGGTCTTTTCCAGCTGTACCCGGCCCCGCGGTGTCTGCGTGCTACACGCCTTCAGCCTGAAGCCTTATGGGGCACTCGTGCCGTCCTGCCATCTGTCCCTTTTCGAGGGTCTTGGGCCCCGGGTTTTTCCCATTTGCGGATGTCTCCCCGGGTGTTTGGCTGGCTTAGGAGAGGTGCCTCCAGATGAGTGCCCCGCTCAGAAGAAGGGATGGTTGCTGTCTGCAGCTGCAAGGTAGGGGTGGTATGCGGTTGCGTCTGCTCTGCGCGGGCTGCAATCTGGCGCCAGAACGCTGCACATATCCTATCGAATTCAGCGTTAAAGTTGGTTTCCCAGGTTGCTGCATCGTGTTTCCCTGCTCCGTCGGCCATGTTGGTTGCGGCCCAGGAGCGGGAAGCGATGGTGTGGCTTGATGGTCTGCTGCTGTTTCCCCAGGAGGGACCGGGGGGGGGGAGGGGGCAGAGAGAAACAGGTCGCTTGTATTAGCCCGGCGGCCCCTCCATACGTGTAGGCCTTAGACGCATCATCTCTTGGCTCCAGTTCGGCGGGCGAGTCTCCGGAGTAGTCTGTGGGTGACCCCCCAACCGACTATTTGGTTGCTGTTTTTGGGGTTGCATCCCGTTTTGCGTAAGTTTAAGCTTGGTTTGTGAGAGGAGCTCTCTGCATACACGTCTGTCAGCCATGCTGGTCAGGCCCCGCCCTCTATTGAATGTCTTTATAATGCCTGATACAGCTATCGTGGCGCCTTGGGAATGCGAAAGGACTCCTCGATACCCACCGCTTTTCCTAGTCTCAAGGGTAGCAGCTCTGTAAATAATCATCTCAGAAGGTGAGGCAGTTCATCAGCCAGTATGTCTTCCTTGACACTTCTGATTTTTACGTTTAGTCTGTGTCTTGCATCATAGCGAAGCGTTGGTCGTAGGATTTGTGCTGCTGGTGCAATCGGTCTATCTCCCCTTGTAAAGATGTAATTTGCTTAGTGTGTTCCCCGGTGGTTTCTTGCAGGGTTCCCAGCCTGCCCGTCAGGCCTCGTATATCCCAGCGGATCTTTGCGGTGTCCGCAAGTAAAAAGTGTTCTGGAGAGTCGACAGGAGTGACGTTAGGACCTCGGTGGTGACCGGCGCAGTGTCGTGCCCCTTAGCTACCGGATTAGCAGGCTGCGCTACTGGTATTTCGACATCATCTTGTTATAAGTCATCAGACCCCTCCGAGTAGTTCTCGGTGTAGTCGCCCATCTTGGGCCTGACCGCGCTGCTAGCCTGTCGCAGGAGGTCGCCAATGTGAAGGCCCGGACGTGGCTTGTCAGGCTTTAGTTTTTTGGTTTTTCGTCCCATCTCTGTGCCAGAGTATGAAGAGGCACCACTGGGGAAGGGGTGGAGGGATTTCTTGTCCCAATTAAGGTGGAAATATCGCAGTTTGTCGGGGGCTCTCATGAAACGTGTCTGCTCGGCTCAGTTGCTTAGCTCTACCCCGTGTTTTAAATTTCTAAAAGGTACACCATTGCGTTAGGAATACATAGTATTCTCTTTATTTAAATTCAGGAGATGTATTGAAGAAATGGTATTACTCACCTCTTTTCCAGTGCTGAGGTAGATCCCTGTAGGTGCTCGATCCACCGAGAGCAACATCACAACATTTTTGCCGCTAATGCCCCAGCCAGCTCGTCCAATAAAATGGAGGACAGCTGTGAGTAACAAATTTGAGGATTCTTACAGAAGTGCCTTTAGTGGCTGTTAGCTAGGCAGCAGCTACACTGGAATAACCCTACAATGTAAGCAGTGGCGTATCTATTAAAAAGCAGTGGCTTTATATAGCAGAGTTAAAACTAAAGGATCACTGCACCCAGACTACTGGGTGCATCATTGAGTGATCCTTTAATTTTTTACAGAAATCATACGCTACATTGAATGATAAATTACTGTAAATTACACATGTCCAGTAACAGAAAATATGTTGAAAACAAAAATAAAATGCACAACCCCCCTCCCCCCCCCAAAAAAAATAAATAAAAAAAGCTGTATGAAACCTATGAAGCAGTCTAACATAAAAAAATAATAATAATAATAATAATCTTTTAAAGAGGCACAATGGATAAAAGATTTCTAGAGAATAATAGGTTGGGCTAAATCTTTCTAATATTCTAAATATTTTTGCATGCCCTCATTTTCTGCTGCTATGTAAACAGTGTAGCAGGTTTGCAACTAACTGTGCTATACATAATCTACAAACCTTGCTCTGCAGTTACCAGTTGAAGAGATATACAGAAGACAAATGGGTATCATGCTTTCCTCTACCTGTATACTTATCTGGATAGTACTCACATTACATGCTTTGAACACTAACACAGGTCTTCTCTTCGTTAACTTTGCATACCAGTGATGTAATCTTCTAACCTCATCTTATGGACACACTTAATGGCCTCACACAGTCATTCCCTTCCTTTAACCTTGTTATGGGCCTCTGGCGCAGATTAAACTTTGAACTCGTAAGCTGTTTGTTGAGGATTTTATGTTTCTTACTTATTTCATTGTATCTGTGGCATTCTTTTGTTTCAATTCTCATAAATATTACACTGTCTGGGTCTCATTTTACAAACTATGTGTCATATTTTAGCTTTGTTTGCTATTACTTATATGGTGCAGATATACTCAGCAGCACTAAAGCACCCAGACCATGTCATCTCAATTAAGTGGTAAGAGTACCTCTGTAGTTTTAAACCTGCAATGTAAAACATTGTAGTTTTGTATAAATTGTAATGTTTACATTGCAGGGTTAAACACAACTCTTCCTGACAGCCACTAGAAGCACTTCCTCTGCAACTCTGTCATGTGACATTCAACATCCAACATCATTAAATTGGATTCAATGCTTCCCTATTGGAAGTATTTGATTGGACTAGTGTGCAACATGTTTACATTCCTACCGCTATACTGTTCCTTTAAATGTCCCAAAGCTATTTTCCCTGGTTTAAAGGACCACTATAGTGCCAGGAAAACATACTTGTTTTCCTGGCACTATAGTGCCCTGAGGGTGCCCCCACCCTCAGGGTCCCCCTCACGCCCGGTTCTGGAAAGGGGAAAAGGGGTTAAACTTACCTTTTTCCAGCGCTGGGCGGGGAGCTCTCCTCCTCCGATCCGCCCTGTCGGCTGAATGCGCACGCGCAGCAAGAGCTGCGCGCGCATTCAGCCGGTCACATAGGAAAGCATTCATAATGCTTTATTATGGACGCTTGCGTGCTCTCACTGTGAAAATCACAGTGAGAAGCACACAAGCGCCTCTAGTGGCTGTCAATGAGACAGCCACTAGAGGGAATGGGGGAAGGCTTAACCCATTGATAAACATAGCAGTTTCTCTGAAACTGCTATGTTTATGAAAAAATGGGTTAACCCTAGCTGGACCAGGCACACAGACCACTTCATTAAGCTGAAGTGGTCTGGGTGCCTAGAGTGGTCCTTTAAGTACAATCTGTTTCCATTGATTGCTTCTATTTTCAGATTATTCCATTCTGGGCTTCAGTGTGTATTTGTTTAAACCTTCATCTTAAAGTACCATTATAGGTACCCAGACCACTTCAGCTCAATGAAGTGGTCTGGGTGCCAGGTCCCCCTTAGTTTTAACCCTGCAGCTGAAAACATAGCAGTTTCAGATTTACTGCTAGGTTTACACTGCAAGGTTAATCCAGCCTTTAGTGGCTGTCTCCTTGACTGCCACTAGAGGCGCTTTCACAATTTACACTGAGTAAATCGCACTTATTTGACGCTGGACGTTCTCACGGACCTCCGGTGTCAAATAAGATCCCCATAGGAAAGCATTGAGTAATGCTGTCCCAAGGGCGGGTTTGAATGTGCGCGCCCCTCTGGTAGCGCATTCGGCTGGCTTTGTATTCATGGTGTCTTTCCCATATATTCAAATCTTTTCTTGGTTTCTTTAGCTCCCTTCATCATGCCTTATTTAACACCTTAAGAACAGAGGCAATTGTTCACGTTCGACACATTATTATTTTTTTTTTATACCTTAAACATAAAAGCAAGATTGCGAAAGCTGCTTACCCATCACAAAAAAGCTGCAACACTGCTCTGACTGGCTTAAATATTTGTCATATAGAAAAGGTGCACTTTTGCTAGGTAAATATGTTAACTAAAATAGAATAAAACAATAAAATGACAGTGGCGAAGTAAGAAATATTAGGCACAAACAGCACAGAAAAACGACCTAAAAATGAACACAACACTTATTTACACATTAACACCCTTGAGCCAGTAGGTGTCATGGTATTCTGGTGGTGCCAATAACAGTCTCAGAAGGGTTTCATTGGATAGAGGAGATTGTAATATTTAGTGAGATGTGCTTAGCAATGGCATCTATGGTGTCAAGTCTCTTTCTGATTGCATTATATTTCTCTGTGCTAACTTTCACTCTGAAAGTGTAAATGTGTTCAGTTTATGTGCATCCTACCTTGGTGATTCTGTCAAAATGTCCACATTGTCAGAGGGAGGTTTATTTTAAACTATATGCACATACTTATATAGCGCCAACAAATTCCACAGCGCTTTACAGTGGGTGTACGAACAGACATGTGGTTGTAACCAGACAAGTTGGAAACACAGGAACAGAGGGGTTGAGGGCCCTGCACAATGAGCTTACATGCTAGAGGGAGTGGGGGTAAAGTGACACAAAAGGCAAGGATAGTATTAGACTGACATTTGCAAGAGAGGAATCAGTTGGGAGCTATTTACAGTTTAACTGATATACTTTTATGAAGAAGTGGGTTTTTAATGATTTTTTTGAAGGAGTAAAGTGAGTTCCACAGGAACGGTGCAGCGCTGGAGAAGTCTTGAAGGTGAGCATCAGAGGTGGGAGTATGAACAGAAGATAGACGCAAGTCTTCAGCCGGGCGTAAGGGCCTACTTGTAATACATATGTAATACCACCCAATGAGTAAGGAGTAACTTATATTTTAAAGTAACACTCCATTCACATAAGTTCTTCATGTGACTGCAATCTTATTTTATTTCAACAGTTGGAAAAGTGCTGATTTCAAGAGAAATATGCATTTTTATAAGTGGTGGTAGAAACAACTCTAACTATGAACTACCACAGAGCTACCAGAAGTGGCAGGTGTGGTAGGCTAGAGCGCACACGTCTGTACTACAGCTCATTGAGAAGCATTGAAAAACCACAGCTATGTAGCAATCACCGCTCCAGGACAAAGGCTTCTCAATGAGAAGTCTCTGATTAGTGTATTTCCCAGCTCTTGAATTCCTTCCATAGTAAGGAGTCAAGCTGTTTAGTAATGGTTGAAGCCCTATTCACTGAGCTAAGTTTGGTGGTGTAAGGCTTAATTCATTGCCTGAGAGCAATCAGCTGAAGCCCTCAGTCAATCAGCTAGTCCAGCATTATAGGATTTTGCTCGGGAGAGGTAACAGAAGATCCTCTGTATCCAATTTGGCTGAGTATGGCAATTACAGCCCCAATGCTTCTCTATAAGCAACATTGCACTAGACCAGATGTCAGGATGATCTCACACACAACAGAAGGAGTAGTTGTAGTGGCAAGACTGGGCTGGATTAAATGGGTACTACACCCATTTAATCTCATCTAATTGGTTATAGCGCATGATGTTCCATGGCATTTTCTTTCCATTCAATATTAAACTGTTTTCATTTTGAATTAAAGGGACACTATAGTCACCAGAACAACTACAGCTTATTGAATTTGTTCTGGTGAGTAGAATCATAACCTTCAGGCTTTTTGCTGTTCAGAGAAAATGCAGTGTTTATATTACAGCCTAGAGATAAGTTCACTGGCCACTCCTCAGATAGCGGTTAGATCCTTCCTGGGTCATTGCAGCCTAAAATGCATCCAAACATTCAGTATCTCCTCCCTCTGCATGCAGAAACTGAACTTTCCTCAGAGATTCATTGATTCAATTCATCTCTATGAGGAGATGCTGATTGGCCAGGGCTTTGTTTGAATCATGCTGGCTCTGCCCCTGATCTGCCTCTTTGTCAGTCTCAGCCAATCCTATGGAGAAGCACTGTGATTGGATCAGGCTACCACTTCTGATGATGTCAGCAGACAGCTTGTTTTTCTGAGGCAAACAGCATGCAGATCTACAGCTTCAGGCTTCAATACAGTAAGATTTTGCTATATTTATGGAGGCATGAGGGGTTAGATGATGGTTTTAACACTACAGGGTCAGGAATACATGTTTGTGTTCCTGACCCTATAGTAATCCTTTAAATTCCATGGCAGGCAGAGCAGCTCCCACTGTCTATATGGTTAAGACATAAATTACACACTTCCTAAATCATACCAATTCATCCAAGCAATGGGCAGCTGTGATAGGCTGAAAGTGGTCAGTTGACATTCTCACCCATTCACTAAACCATTGCTACTCAGTCTAATGCTTCTTCGTAGGACAATGCAGCACAGAGGTAATGGGTTGCTGGGACTCATTTAGCATTAAAATATTAAATAGTTTAGCACTGAATGGAAGAACAGCACTAGGTCCCTCCAGACACTATAACCACTTAAGAAAAAGAAGTAACAGGCTTTTCCTTTAAAATCTGATTCATTTACTTACAAATTCCTTATCTTCCTGTCATCCTGTCTTTTGATAATCAAAAGCACAAAATGCAAATAAATAACAGAATACGTACTTTCCATTAATCACTGAAACATTTCAGTTGTAATGAATATTTATTGCAAGGTCCCTTTAAAATGATAGAGGGAGGATAAGAAAATAAAGCAAAACCAGATATTCTTCCAAAGTCTACTTGCTATGCAAATTAGAGTCAGTTTGAAAGTTGTTTTGCTTTGACCATTTGTAGTAGTCCTGGTAACACTGTCCATTGTTGGATTGCAATCGCCTATCCATTAAGAAAACATTTCCCGGATGGTTGTTGTCGATAAGTGTACATGTTAAGAACAGCTCCACGCAAAATATCTGTGATAAATAGCATTAAACTGAAATCTAAAAAAAAAAAAAAAAGACATTAAAAGAACACTATAGAATTAGGAATACAAACAGGTATTCCAGTTTAGTTGTGATCCTCCATCCTAGTCAGAAATAAACCATAATAGTTAGTTTTCCCCCCTCATCGCGCTGATGCCTTGCCTCCCCAGCTGATGATCTGCCAATCCAATAAGTAAGCACTGGGAGGCTAGTGCACATATACGCGGCAAATGGCACGGCTGCGCCAATCAAATGCTGAAAATAGAATTAGCTTTGTTCTCACAAGTAAGCGCCTCTATTGGCTTTCAGGAAGGGAGCCACTAAAGGTGTGTTTCTCTGTGTAACAAAACATTTAAGTATCTACTAAACGGCAATGTTTTAGATTGCAGAGTTAAGACTAAAGGGCCACTGCACCCAGGCTACTTCATCGCAATCAAGTGTTCTGGATTCCTTTTATGGTCCTTTAACAAAGCTATTCACTAAACTGTAAAATGAACAGAAATTCAAAGTGAATTTGAAATATTAGGCCGCAAGGCCTTCATTAGAAAAATTATCCAAGTGAGCTTTGGTTATTTTGGCTTAAAGACTCATGTTCACACACTACAAGGTTATTCAATTAAGTTTTTGGGAACACTACATAAGCCAGCCATGTTAATATTGTCCAAAACTGTTAATTCACTTTGAATTCCTAACAATTCAAATTTTAGTGAATAATCTTTTAAAACAAGAATTTAGGAGAGGGATTATCAGATTCTCATTTCTTGGACCAACCATGAAACAAGTGTATTGCTTGTTACACTATAGAAGGATAGAAAAGCTTTAACATTCAAGATGACATGTACTATATTTCCCTTAATGCTCGAGAAGGGCTCTGCCAACCTATTCAGAATTTTGAAGCCAGTGTTTTAGCATAAGGAATAGGATCATAAATAGTTATACATAAATTAAAACTCAGAACTGGGAATCAACATCACAAGTTCAGAGTTATGCAAAAATCAGTTTAAGGCTGTCACACCATCTGTCATTAAAATTAACAATCACCAAACCAATATAATTTGAAAAAAAAATTAGAAAGCCAGATCAACGACGTACCAATTACATGAACCACAGCAATACAAAAGGACAACCATGTACCCCAAAAAAGTAATCATTGCCAAAATTAGAATACACTAATGAACCAAATCTATTACCCAATGCACGACTGTAAAGTTACACGTCAACAAGACTTGGTAACAAATTACGTAACAGTAAACAGATCAACCGCTGTAAAATATACAATAAATTTTAGGACAATCAACTCTCAAACGATTCTTTTACGTAAACTCTACATACATACAAATGTAAGCTAACCCATGCATGTAATTATATGTGACATCATCCTCAAGCACTCTATAAATCTAAACACCCAACAAAAGCACACCAAAAGTCATCAACCTTCCTTAATGTTCTTTACGAAGACCTATATACTTCTACATCTCCAGCATAACGACTGACAGTACACATCCAATACCTGTACCATTGCTGTAGAAATATCAGGCTGTATAGGCCATGGCTGTGCTAACCTTTGGCACTTCACTTGTGAGTACAATCTGACTGATATGCCAGCCACCCATCTAAACTACACACACCCCAACACCAGCAATGCTACTCTATAGCTAACACAGCTAAAACAATACTGCAGCAACGACCTCCAGACAGAGAGGAGCAGGGAGCTCTCCGGTGGAGCTTCAGACAGAGAGGAGCAGGGAGCTCTCCGGTGGAGCTTTAGACAGAGAGAGCAGGGAGCTCTCCGGTGGAGCTTTAGACAGAGAGAGCAGGGAGCTCTCCGGTGGAGCTTTAGACAGAGAGAAGCAGGGAGCTCTCCGGTGGAGCTTTCAGACAGAAGAGGAGCAGGGAGCTCTCCGGTGGAGCTTCAGACAGAGAGGAGCAGGGAGCTCTCCGGTGGAGCTTTAGACAGAGAGAAGCAGGGAGCTCTCCGGTGGAGCTTCATCAGGATCTGTTCCGTGCCTGGACATGGCGGCCCCGCCGGCTGCAGCCATGCACCTCGCAGCTGGGACACGGGCAGCGCTCGGAGTGAGGGGGAGCGGAGGAGGAGGATGTGGCCTCCGGGGTGCAGGGGGCAGAGGGCCCGGTGGGGAGGCAGAGCAGACCGGCTTGGCGGTGACCGAGACTGCGCAGTGCCGGGGCGGGGGCGGCGGTGGTGGCGGCTCCGGGTTGGCGGTGTGGGCTGCGCAGTCTGGGTGCTCGGTCTCGCTGCCTGCGCTCTGTCACCGCTGACTCAACACACAGCTCAGTTGCGGCAACCGCGCAGTGCCCCCCCCCAATCACGTCAGCGGCGGGAGGGACAGGGTGTTCGACGTCAGCGCGTACAGCGGCCACGCCCACTCGCAGCCGCGCCCATTTCTGGTTTTATTTATTTATTTTCATTCACAACAACTTTATTAGCAGCGCTGTGAACACGGGCTGTGAGTTGGATGGTGGCCTTCCCGCAGGGCCTAGTCGACATGGCGGCCGGTGAGCAACAGATAGGAGTGAGGGAGCTCTGTAACATCTCTCACAAATACCCCTCTGCCGTTCCCAGCGGAGTGTGACCACATGACCGTTGCAAATTGCAGGAGTCCCGCCCCGCCCAGCCTCAACCAGCTGACATTGACTGGAAGAGGCCCGGAAATGGCAACCTCATATCAGAGCTACCTCACACCCTGTCACAGTCCTTCGTATCAGAACTACCTCACACCCTGTCATAGTCCTCCATATCAGAGCTACCTCACACCCTGTCACAGTCCTCCATATCAGAGCTACCTCACACCCTGTCATAGTCCTCCATATCAGAGCTACCTCACACCCTGTCACAGTCCTCCATATCAGAACTACCTCACACCCTGTCACAGTCCTCCATATCAGAACTACCTCACACCGCTGTCATAGACCTCCATATCAGAGCTACCTCACACCCTGTCACAGTCCTTCGTATCAGAGCTACCTCACACCCTGTCACAGTCCTCAATATCAGAGCTACCTCACACCCTGTCACAGTCCTTAGTATCAGAACTACCTCACACCCTGTCATAGTCCTCCATATCAGAACTACCTCACACCGCTGTCATAGTCCTCCATATCAGAGCTACCTCACACCGCTGTCATAGACCTCCATATCAGAGCTACCTCACACCGCTGTCATAGACCTCCATATCAGAACTACCTCACACCGCTGTCATAGACCTCCATATCAGAACTACCTCACACCGCTTTCAATCTAAGGATAAAAAGGATATGCAAACAAAAAGTATATCTTGAAAGAAGGGAGATCTACTAAACAGTGCCCAGGGGATCCATTATTTGGTGTACTAAATTGCATCTAGGTTCCAATTCCCCTAGTGTCCGACTGACGGGAAGGTAGTGTAAACGAGGTTAGGGAGAGAGAAAAGGCACAGGGTCCACAGAGAACAAGGGACCAGATACTCTAGTCTAAATGCAGATAAAAAGCCTCAAAGAGAAAAAAAAATCTCTCAATTCATTTCAAGAGTTACCTTAACACTGTGGTCTGACTACTAGTGTCTACCTGAACCGACTCTCCCTACTAAAGTTATAAATAAAGAAACGCATAAAAATCAATAACCATAGTGGTAATAAAAATAAAAAAGTGCTACCAAGTGCAGTGATAATAGAAACCGCTCAACATGCGTTTTTGCATGTTCAAAACGCCATCATCAAGAGCTTGTAGCATTTAAATACCTATTGCTGATGAAACATGGTCATCAGCTGTTCAATGTGGGAGGTCTCGAGAGGCGGAGTGTCTAGACTCTATCCCACAGCCTACGGGGGCGTGGCATGTCACATATTCTAGATCTCAAAACCATAGTGACGACACAACCAGCCGGTGAGGTAGTTTAGCTGGCAAAATCCCCAACCACAAAGCCTGCTCAAAAATGCAAGCCCACAGTTTCAAATACCAACCACAAAACCTGCTCAAAAATGCAAGGCCACAGGTTTAAATCCCAGCAGGGTCGGCAAAACGAGTACCATCAATGGGGCAACAATAACATACACTACTATTCAGCTGCCGACCTGGTCAGCTTCGAGAGCGTGCGCTGAAGAGCACCCCGAGTCCCACTGGGAAAAAAGGCACCACACAAATACCTGTTATTATTATTCTTTTAACCGGGACCGCCGCCGTCCTGTGCTATAGAGTGGAGCCAGGCGGGGCGGAACACATCATCCAGTATGGGCGTTTGTTGCAAAACAGGCTGTTATGTGAGCTGTACAGCCAAGAGGGAGAGCATCGGGGCACAACCCCGCCTCCCTATATTGCTGATTTTTCCCTCTCATAGGTGGGACGGGATGGCTGAATATGTGAGGTGGGCTTAAAGTATTCCCAAAGTGCACCTCATAGTGTGACTGGAACGCCTACTGTATTATGGAGTGGAACTGACTGGAAGTGGGCGGGAAATAGCATCTCAGTCCCATCCGGTGTGGGCATCTATTGCATAGGCTGTCCCATCAATTGTATGGTCAAAAAATTACCACACAAGGTCTCACATATGCCAATCAGGTCAGGGTACATTAAATGTACAGTAAATGGACCCGTCTTTATAGATTGAATAATGCCTATAAACATAAGGAAATAAACATCCACTCAGGGGAAGTGTACCCCAATCAGGATGTATAAAATAAGGCAGACAATATCTTGGTTCGAATGGCAAAATGAGCATAGTGAAAATAAAGTGGCCTTTCATGTTCATATATAAAGTGTCATATTTACATATCTACAAATTTACAAATAGTACGGTAGGGAGCTTAAAAAGGAAGAATTCCTCAGGGTTGTTTAAGCCCCTTTAATGAAGAGAGTATTACAAAAAGGCTGAAAAAGAGAATCCCTTATTTAACCCTGCTGTGGATAACGTATTGAGTTTGTAAATCCAATACGATTCTCTCTGCTGTAGTTTTCGGTCCCAATTTCCTTTATGTGGAGGTTGGGGGACTGATTCAATACCCATGAATCTAATTTTAGTAGCAGAATTAGAATGAACATAACAGGAGGTACACTAGTCCTTCGGTACGGCAGTTAAAGAAAGATTTTGTTAAGAATTCCTCAGAATCACCGCTGTCTGTAAAAGGCTTGGTCTGTTTAGCAATATGTGGACATTCACTACAGTGGCCACACTTGTATGTGCCCGTGGGTAGATATTGTTTGAGGAGTTTTATTAAGGGGGCCTTGTGAAGAAATCCCTCTTTATGTTCAGTATTTCTCCCCTGTTCATTCGGTAGATGTAACTACCGAACAGAGACCACCCCCCAGGCTCGTTAAACTTCAAAGCATGCCTCAATTGAATCTTCTACCAGTCGTTTGTCCTACTGAACGCCACGTGGCTGAGAAAACGGCGGCCATCTTTTTTTATGCGAACAAAGGCAGCGGGACTTGTTTGTCGAGTGTATGTTTGTGCTGGGAGTGTTTTACGTTTTTCTTGCAAATGATTGGATGTACTTTGTCCCTCCCTGTTGGATGTCCCCTTGCATGGGGACTTGCATAAAAGCCAGTGTGTGATAATTAAAAGCCAGTTCTGTTGCACCCTTCTTCTAGACTTTGGCTGATGTTTGGGGATTCGTATGCTTTATTAAGGGAATCATCTTGTAAAGCTATTGTATTCGTATGGATTTCATCTACCGAACGGAGAGCTATAATCACTGATGCTCTGACTGTTCGGGAGGAAACTACCAAATGAGGATTGGATATCCTAGGTTTCCTTACAACTGGTGGCAAGCAGAGGGATTCGAATCCCGAATAGACGTTCTGAACCAAGCAAGGGAATGAATGGCTCAGCAATACCAGCTACTTAAAAGATCCACGCTAAAAGATTTACTGGAAGCTCGAGGCGTAGTGGCAAGTAACAAGACAAAAGCCACGTTAATTGTGGATTTAATACAGAGCGACGGAACCAGTAATACAGAGTTGGAGCACGAGGAAGAAACCGAGATGCAGAAGGATATCAGATGGATGCTCAGTGTATGGGACCCAATCCATCAACAGAGGCAGTTCTGCAGGTCATGGCACAAGCCAGGCAATAGCAAAAAGAGCGAGGTGATCGAGACAGACCGTTACAGGGGGATTTGCTACACTCCCCGGGAAGTACAAACGACCTACCAAAGAAGGTAAACTATGCAGCGTTTATAACTTTTAATGATAATGACATGGAAATTGACAGTTATCTACAAGACTTTGAACGTCAGTGTGCGCTGGAGGGATTAGACTCCTCAAAATGGTCTGCAGTACTTAGCAGCAAGCTATCAGGAAGAGCAGCAGAGGCGTTGTGAGCAGTACCTGATGGGGACATACACAATTATGGCAAGGTGAAAGATATTTTGTTGGCCAGATACGCTGTAACCCCAGAGGCGTACAGGAAAAAAGTTTAGGGAACTTCAGAAAGATTCTCACACTGAATGGGCTTTCCAGCTACACAGGGCAGCCTGGAATTGGATGCAGGGCTGCCAAGGAACTACCCTGGAGGATGCCTTACAGCTCATACTATTGGAGCAGTTTTTTAATCACACAGCAGACGATATAAAAGACTGGGTAAAGGACAGAAAACCCAAAACTGTGAAGGAAGCCGCCAGACTAGCGGATGTTCACCAGGACAACCGGAGGTGAGAACAGGGGGTGAGCAGACCAACCTTTAAACACACCTACCCAGTACTAGCAACTCCTGCACCACCTAGAGCCTCCGTAAGTAATCCCAGCAGCAACACCCCGACCCCTTGCAGGTTGTCATTACTGCAAGCAACCAGGACAGAACCAGTGCCCTCATTTGAACCGAGGAAGCTGGAAAAGGCAACCACCGCAACAACCCATCGTACCCGCCCATTGTGTCCAACAAGAAAATCCTACCAGCTCCCCTAACCAAGAGGAGCAGTGGAGTGTTTTGCATGAGGTCAGTCCAGTTGTGAGCGAATGGGGGCGAGAACCGGGACCACCACCGTCAATGGATTACAGTAGATGGCATGGGGGCCTGAGCTTTGAGAGGCTCTGGGGCCAAACTAACCGTAGTACAACCACACACGGTCAAGGCCCAAGCTCGCATCGGCCGCACAGTAGCCGTAAGGGTGGCTGGTGGTGCCATACACAAGCTACCCACAGCCAGTGTCCTTGTCAACTCTGGATCTAAACAATTGGAGGTTCCTCAACCCTTCGCAAGGCCGAGAGAGAAACGGAGCTCAGACTCTCCTGTATTTTTGACGCCTTCTGGGAGAGGCTGGAACAGCTTGCGTGGCCCCCGGAACCAGGGACCTACGCCACACTGCCCGTTACGAGAGGCTCAAGAAAATGTCTCGGCACATGCCGTAGGTTCCCTTGCTGGACTCCACAGGCGCCTGAAAAAGACCAACCCGATGTCGGGTGAACAGAGCCACTCCAAGGGTGAACGTGACCAGGCACAGGCAAGGTATCTTAAGGGGACCCCCACAGCACAGCGCAGATCACTGCCTCGCTCCCCGACAATGACCCAGCCTAAGAGAGGCAATGGCCAACTCATCCACACATGCAAGTGGCAGACCAAGAGGCCTAAAATGGCGGCAGCAGCAGCACACAGCCACAGCCAACGAATACACCGGCAGGTGGGAACCACAACTGGAGCCACATTATACATACCGACTAGGTCCTCTGCCCACACTGAGACACTCTTCTCCTACACTGCTGGACCAAGGGGAATGCGGCACGCACCATCGCTGCAACTAACGGCGCAGGGGGAGCACACCCAGCCCCAACAAGGCATCGGCTGACCCATACAAGACTGGGACTCAATGTCAGGCACAGTGCCCAATATTCATCACCTCTTAATACCCGAGATGAACTCTCACACCTGTATGCATGCAATTCAATAGCCCTTTTGTTTATGCCGGGGACCGCAGGGGGGGATATCGCTAGGGACCAAGCGATTATAAGCTAAGCCTTTCTATGTACAGGGAGTGCAGAATTATTAGGCAAATTAGTATTTTGACCACATCATCCTCTTTATGCATGTTGTCTTACTCCAAGCTGTATAGGCTCGAAAGCCTACTACCAATTAAGCATATTAGGTGATGTGCATCTCTGTAATGAGAAGGGGTGTGGTCTAATGACATCAACACCCTATATCAGGTGTGTATAATTATTAGGCAACTTCCTTTCCTTTGGCAAAATGGGTCAAAAGAAGGACTTGACAGGCACAGAAAAGTCAAAAATAGTGAGATATCTTGCAGAGGGATGCAGCACTCTTAAAATTGCAAAGCTTCTGAAGCGTGATCATCGAACAATCAAGCGTTTCATTCAAAATAGTCAACAGGGTCGCAAGAAGCGTGTGGAAAAACCAAGGCGCAAAATAACTGCCCATGAACTGAGAAAAGTCAAGCGTGCAGCTGCCACGATGCCACTTGCCACCAGTTTGGCCATATTTCAGAGCTGCAACATCACTGGAGTGCCCAAAAGCACAAGGTGTGCAATACTCAGAGACATGGCCAAGGTAAGAAAGGCTGAAAGACGACCACCACTGAACAAGACACACAAGCTGAAACGCCAAGACTGGGCCAAGAAATATCTCAAGACTGATTTTTCTAAGGTTTTATGGACTGATGAAATGAGAGTGAGTCTTGATGGGCCAGATGGATGGGCCCGTGGCTGGATTGGTAAAGGGCAGAGAGCTCCAGTCCGACTCAGACGCCAGCAAGGTGGAGGTGGAGTACTGGTTTGGGCTGGTATCATCAAAGATGAGCTTGTGGGGCCTTTTCGGGTTGAGGATGGAGTCAAGCTCAACTCCCAGTCCTACTGCCAGTTCCTGGAAGACACCTTCAAGCAGTGGTACAGGAAGAAGTCTGCATCCTTCAAGAAAAACATGATTTTCATGCAGGACAATGCTCCATCACACGCGTCCAAGTACTCCACAGCGTGGCTGGCAAGAAAGGGTATAAAAGAAGAAAATCTAATGACATGGCCTCCTTGTTCACCTGATCTGAACCCCATTGAGAACCTGTGGTCCATCATCAAATGTGAGATTTACAAGGAGGGAAAAACAGTACACCTCTCTGAACAGTGTCTGGGAGGCTGTGGTTGCTGCTGCACGCAATGTTGATGGTGAACAGATCAAAACACTGACAGAATCCATGGATGGCAGGCTTTTGAGTGTCCTTGCAAAGAAAGGTGGCTATATTGGTCACTGATTTGTTTTTGTTTTGTTTTTGAATGTCAGAAATGTATATTTGTGAATGTTGAGATGTTATATTGGTTTCACTGGTAATAATAAATAATTGAAATGGGTATATATTTGTTTTTTGTTAAGTTGCCTAATAATTATGCACAGTAATAGTCACCTGCACACACAGATATCCCCCTAACATAGTTAAAACTAAAAACAAACTAAAAACTACTTCCAAAAATATTCAGCTTTGATATTAATGAGTTTTTTGGGTTCATTGAGAACATGGTTGTTGTTCAATAATAAAATTAATCCTCAAAAATACAACTTGCCTAATAATTCTGCACTCCCTGTATAGCCTCGCTATTCTGATACATAAGTTAGTTTAGCATACGTACCTTTCTAATCTACAACTGTTTATTAAGCATGACCACGATATCTATGTTCCTAGCTAGGCATACAGCTGCCATAACGTTTCATTGCTCCTCTTCTACTCATGTCTTTTGACAGATTGTCCATTTTGCTTATTATAATGTTTAGCAATTCAGCAGGCTACTAATCTACGTCAGTCATGTCAATTTATTTCTTGTAAACACACCTCTTGCTATTGTTACTCGCATTTACTAACCAGATACTCAGCATTACTCTAACAATTTTAAAAAAATGTGTGCAGTTTAATCCCAAGTCACAGTATTGTCAGCTTTGCGAAGGCATGTAATCGCTATTGTGGCATTGAAGCCAAATTTGTACCTCCCTTTGCACAACAAAAATAAAGAATAAAAAAAAAAAAACAATTGGAGGTTGGCATTATGCAGGAACTGCCGGCCGAGGTCTTATTGGGGAACGACGTAGGCTGTTTAACCTCCCAACTCTCACGGGACACCACTTCAGAAGCCTACCCAGTTACTGTGGAGGAACCAGCCTCGCCACTGGGCATTGGAGACTGATTGCCAGCCTCCTGCCATGTGACAATGGCCCCTAGGATGTATTGCCTGCTCTCCTGTACTGCTGAGGTTTGCTACCAACTAGGTGGATTTGGCTATGGAGCTTGTCTAGTGCCCTCTGTTGGTAGCAACAGCAATATGCACTACCTGAATAGCAAGACTGGTTCATTTGCATATTCGGGTAGATTTGCATATTGCTAATTCTGCAGGCACGTGAGATATTTTCTGTTAATTATTGTCTCCCCCACCTCTTTAAAAATATGCCATTGTGTTATAATAAGTCACTGTATGTTGCCTGCTATGATTTGATTGTTTGTAATTTTATTGAGTTTTCACAGCAATGGGACACGGGGCCACCCAAGTCACTAAAAGACAGCTTGTAGTACCCCGTAAGTTTCATGCTGAGTTATTAAAACTCAGTCACGACATTCCCCTAGCAGGACATCTAGGGGTTAAGAAGACGAGGGACCGGTTGACCCAAACGTTCTTCTGGCCTAGGATCACGCAAGATCTTAAATATTATTGTAGAACGTGTGACATATGTCAAAAGATAGGGAAAAGGGGTGACCACCAAAAAGCCAAACTCCACCCTTTACCCATTATAGAAGAGCCGTTTCACTGAGTAGTGATAGACTTAATAGGACCCCTCAGTATGTGCCCCCTCTTCCGGGGATAGTGAGGAACTTCCCCTGCCCGATAAATTAGACACCTCCTTAGAGAAGAGTGAGGCCTCTCAGCTGCCTCAGGGATACCAAGGAATGTTTTCTGCCATACCAGGATATACCTCCGCTGCGGTACACCGTGTAGAAACCCAGGGAGAAACGCCTTTACGGCAGCAACCATATTGTATCCCTGAGGCAGTACAGGAAAATATGCTCGCTGAAATAAGGGATATGCTCAAATTAGGGGTTATAGAACACTCTCAAAATCCTTGGGCTTCGCCGGTAGTACTAGTACCGAAGCGCGACGGTACTACGCGCTTCTGTGTAGACTATCGGAAGCTCAACGATCACACCATAACTGAAGCCTACCCCATGCCCAGAATAGATGAGCTTTTAGACCGTATGGCTGGGGGGAATTACCTGACTATCTTGGACTTGTGCAAGGGGTATTGGCAGATCCCCTTGGAGCCTGAGGCCATCCCCAAGTCAGCGTTCGTCACTCCATTTGGGCTATACCAGTTCAAGGTTATGCCCTTTGGGATGAAGAATGCCCCGGCTACTTTTCAGAGGATGGCCCATAGGCTCCTAGAGGAGTTCCAGGACTTCGCATGTGCGTATCTAGACAATATTGCCGTCTACAGCCGCACTTGGGAAGACCACCTGGGGCACTTGTCCAGGGTACTCAAGCGGGTCTCACATTGAAACCTGACAAATGCCACGTAGGCATGGCCGAGGTACAGTATCTCGGCCACAGGGTAGGTTCCAGGAGGCAGCGTCCAGAGCCTGCTAAACTAGAGGCCATAGCTAATGGGCCTCAACCCCGTACTAAAACCCAGGTATTAGCCTTTTTAGGGACGACCGGCTACTACCGAAAATTTGTTCCAGAGTATAGCGCCCTGGCCAAGCCTCTCACCGACCTTACCAAAAAGGCCCTACCTAAACAAGTGCCCTGGACCCCAGAGTGCGCGGACACTTTTCAGAGACTTAAAGCTGAATTAAGTGAGGCCCCTGTGTTGGCAGCGCCCAACCATACTAAACAATTTCTTGTACACACAGATGCTCCATGTTTGGGCTGGGAGCCGTGTTGAGCCAAGTGGGGGACGACGGCATGGAACACCTGGTGGCATACCTTAGCCGTAAACTTTTGCCCAGAGAGGTCAGCTATGCCACCGTAGAAAAAGAGTGCCTAGCCCTAGTTTGGGCCCTTAAGAAACTTCAACCTTACCTGTATGGACGACCATTTACCCTTATGACCGACCACAACCCCCTTGTGTGGCTAAACCAGGTAGCTGATCACAACCCCAGGCTATTACGGTGGAGCCTAGCCCTTCAGCCATATAACTTTACTATGCAATACCGTCTGGGCAAACAAAACGGTAATGCAGACGGTCTGTCTTGACAGACCGAACTGGACTCCTAAAGTACTTTTATCGGACATCCCCAAGCCAACCCGACAGGGTCTAGGTGGGTATGCCGACCTATGGAACTATAGGGGAGCAGTGTGAAGAAATCCCTCTTTATGTTCAGTATTTCTCCCCTGTTCATTCGGTAGCTGTAACTACTGAACAGAGGCCACCCCCCTGGCTCGTTAAACTTCAAAGCATGCCTCAATTGAACCCTCTACCTGTACTACTGAACGTCACGTGGCTGAGAAAACGGCGGCCATCTTTTTTTATGCGAACAAAGGCAGCGGGACTTGGTCGTCGAGTGTCTGGAACTAAAATCAGATACTCGACTTCCCGAACACCGGTCTCAACATACGAACGCTGAATCTTTATTTCCCGAACAGCTAGAAGAGCGCTGTTATGTACTTTTGTTCATTCGAATGAGGGGAACAATCGCTGCTAAGAGCCAGGGGAAACCGTTCGTGGGATTATTCATTTTTTCCCACTTAATGAAATAGACCGGCAAAACTACCCAAATTTATGGAACTGTTTTGGGCAGCCACCTCATGGTTAGCCGGTCAAAAAAGACTTCCAGATTTTTTGAGAACCTCTGAACCGATCTGGTTGAAATTTGAATATGTTGGTCACCCAGATCGGTGCTATCAGGGGACATATTGTTTGTGGGGATACCACATGCCTAAAGGGGTGTTCTAAATATTGTGGAAAACTGTAATTTTTCTGCCTGGAGATAATCAAGTTATTACTTTATCAGACTTGATTATCTCCAGGACTAGGGGAGGGAATTGTATGTTTGTGCTGGGAGTGTTTTACGTTTTTCTTGTAAATGATTGGATGTACTTTGTCCCTCCCTATGGGATGTCCCCTTGCATGGGGACTTGCGTAAAAAAACGTGTGTGATCATTAAAAGCCAGTTCTGTTGCAACCTTCTTCTAGACTTTGGCTGATGTTTGGGGATTTGTATGCTTTATTAAGGGAATCGTCTTGTAAAGCTATTGTATTCGTATGGATTTCGTTTATTTCATCTACCGAATGGAGAGCTATAATCACTGATGTTCTGGCTGTTCGGGAGGAAACTACCAAATGAGGATTGGATATCCTAGGTTTCCTTACAGGCCTAATAGCTAGGAACTAGCATGTCTTTCAAATTTCTGCCCCTGCGTGCTGTCACTGAGGGGAATGGTATAATAACCTTCTCAATATGGGGATCCGAAGTGATTATTGGCCAAAATCTTTTAAATGTATTCATCATGTTGGACCAGCCTGCATCATATGGTGTTATGCTTAGAATCTTGGAAGATCCTGTGTCCCTAATGTGATCACTTAGTAGGGTATCTCTGTCGGCATTTATTGCTCTGGCATAAGCCCTTTTTAGAACCCTATTAGGGTAACCTTTTTCCCTAAAAGATTTTCAGAGGTCCCAGGCCGTGATTTTAAAATCATCCAGGGAAGAACAGTTTCTTTAGTTTTAGTGGGTGATGGCTAGTCCAATTCAGAAGGCCATTAGAGGCTGTTTGTTTTCGGTACAGGGTGGTTAAAATGTTGCCACTTGTTTGTATGGAAACAATGAGGTCTAGGAAGATTCTTGCCCCCCACTTCGCTTGTGAAGAAGAGAGTTACAAACGTCATGAACTCATAAGAAGATCCCAGCCAAATAACAAAGACATCATCGATGTACCTTTTCCAAAAATAAATTTTTATCACGATAGTTCGATAAAGTCTGGTCCATTTCAATGTATGTCTCCCAGGTGCCCAAGTATATGTTGGCATAGGAGGGCGCGCATGAAGTCCCCATGGCATTCCCCCTAATTTGTTGGTATACTTTACCATTGAATAAAAAGAAATTTTTGGTCAATATAAATTTAATGATGTTAGAGATAAAGTCTATGCATGCTGGTGGGGCATTAAGTGTTTTCTGAAGAGTTGATCTAATGCTCTTACTCCCCAATTTGTAGGGGATGCAGCTATATAATGCTTCTATGTCCAGGCTACATAAGATGGCTTCTTCTGGTACCCTTAAGTTCTCTAACCAGTATAACATTTGTTTTGTATCTCTGATATATAATGATAAATTGGATACAATGGGTGAAAAGATTTTATCAAGAAAAATGCTCGCATTCTGGGTTAGATTAGGCCTGCCAGGTGGATTAGTCAAGGACTTATGCACCTTAGGCAGGCTATGGAAGGTGGACAGTACTAGTGATCTGATGAAGTGAAGTTCTTCTTTTGGTTATGAATTTACTATCCAAGGCCTGAGATAAGAGAATATTAATCTCAGTGAAATATTCATCCGTGGGGTCCCCCTGGTAGGATCCGATAGGTGTCTTTATCACTAAGAATAAGGTTTACCATTTGGATATAATCCGAACAATTCATGGCCACAATATTCCCACCTTTATCAGATGGTTTAATGACAATGTTGGTGTTTGATTTTATCTCATTAAGTGGTAAGCGTTCTCTTTTTGGTGAGTTTACCATTAGATCTATATGCAAGATCCCTTTCATCCACAGATTTAATGTACCTGCAGACCATCTCTTAAGAAAAAAACAATGTTCTTATATTCCCTAATTTGTGAGGTAAATTTGCTTTTAGGTCAAAGGTTAGTATTTGGTTCTAATCCCTCACTAAGGTCCAGGTTTTGAGCTGTATATTCCTTTCTTATAGAGTGGTACTAATGGAGAGCCACTTTTTGTGCAAAGAGATGTAAATCCTTTGTCCACATAAATTTGTTAAATTGTGGTATCGGCCCAAATGAAAAAACCTTTTGTGAGAGTCTGTATCTGTATGTTTGTCAGGGTAAGTGAGGATAGGTTAACAACTTGAAGGGTTTTGGCGTTTAGTAGCGGTGTTTCCGTTGGCCCCTGTTCCTTTGTGATTGTCTCTTTGGACCCTGGAATTCGTCTGCCTGTTTGAGGCCTAAAAAATCAACCCCCTTCTTCAAAATGGTGTTGGGTTAGTGTTCACGTTGGTTGTGTTAGTGGATGTATTCAGTGTGGTTTATCCTTCCGTGTCAGTGGAATTGTACTCTGAGGTGCTAAAATAATCCGAGTCTATTCTCACTCTATTTTTGATTGAGCGGTATACTCGTCCAGACTCAAAATCTGAGGTGTCCCTCAGAGATTTTTGATGTTTTTTGTCTTAATTTTGTGTGAAAAATCTATCTAGGTTATTTTTGAGTTTCACTTCCAAATTCTCAAACTGTGGGTCACTTTTAAATTTCTGTACCTCTTCTATTGTAGTGTCTAACTCTTGTTGAATAGTAGTGAGTTGTTGTGTTTCGTATTTACAAATGATAGTCGTGAAAGTTGAAGAACATTTAGCTGCTGCTTCCTCCCATTCTTTATTAAATCCCTCTAAATCTATATTTCTAGCTGGGGGTACCTGAACCCTCAGTCTCCTGGGAATAATGTTTTTTGAAATATAGGTGTTAAGTGTTTCAATTTTTCAGCTTGTACGTATCTGGTGTTTAAAGATTCTTGTTAGTTTGTTAAAACAAGTTTGTATATTGGGAGAGGGGAGCAATTCAAGTTAAGATGTATTGGAAAAGATTGAGTCAGCATCTGAGCACCAATGATTCGCATCCACTTTGTTAGATAGGAAGCCAGCCATCTATAAAAGGTAATGGGTATGGGGTTTTGTAAACAATGTTACTCTCAAAAGTAAAGGGAAGGGGGGGCATGGCCTGGAGGCGAACCGGAGCGGTCGCATGTGCTAGCAGCTCCGCTCCGTAAACGGCTTCAAAGGAGCAATTAAGCCCGAAACTGGCCGCACAAACATAAAATGTCGCAACCTAAAGGGAAGAGAAACACGGAGAGAGCAGAGAAAAACAACTTCTTCGTCTCCAGAGCCGGGCAAGCCAGAAGCCTGCCGCCACAAGAGCTGACTCAAGATGGCGCTGAGGACATGGCGGACAGCAGGGAACACCCGGAGGAGACTGAACCTGCACTAACACACAGTGCAGGTTCAGTCTCCTAAAAGAAAATGAACGATCCGGCACAAAGCCATTCCTGAACCAGGGGTGACCACCTTCGCAGAGACAGAGTCGGTCTGAAACCAGGGATGGGTAAAGTACTGGAACTGTAAAGATAGAATATAGGGTAGATATAGAATGCGTGACTGTGAAGGGCAACTACCCCTACGAAAGGAAAAAAAAAAAAGGGGGGGAGAGGGAGGCCTTAGTTAGAAGGCTCGGATCCCCAACATAGCCTGACACCACTGGGTAGCTTGAGAGAGGACAAGAACGATACGCATCCACTATCCTGCCCGCAAGCAGACAAGAGACCCATACCCTACTGACAGGAAGTTCATTAGAAATACCCCGCTGGTAAAATACCCACTATCCCACTGACTCAGAAAGAAAGAAAAAAAAAAATATTTGGGTAGCGACGACAAGCAACAGACCCACATAGGGCGTTACAGACACTAACCAAGGTTAACAGAAGCCACAGGCAGGGAGGTATACCAGGCCAAGAAGCCTAGCTTCATCCCCAAGGCACGTCGATGCAGTGCCCAGCCATACCTCAGGCAGTATTGTTAATTGTATATACTTTTGTTGTTATGTTACTGTTATGTATTGTATATTTCTGTTCAGTTACTGGTATCCTAATCAAACACTCAGAGGGGCGCACCACAGGGAACCCCGCGCAAACATTTCTCTCGCATATCATACTACTGTTTCCTACCCACCATAGACACGAATCTACCCCACAAGCTCTACGGGCCATCCGCACCCAACCCAAAAACGGGACGTCAGCACTCGGCTTGCAGAAGCTGGGAGGAGTGCTGTCCCTTGACGAAACACCCATCACAACACACTATAGCCCACCACATTATGAGAAACCACCGTGAGGATCTGTACATATAACGTACAGGGATTGAATACCCCCGCTAAAAGACATATGTTAAACAGAGAGCTCAAGTCCCTAAACGCGGATATCGTATGTCTCCAGGAGACACATTTTAGACATATGGATCACCCCACTATCCAAGCGATACAATTTCCACACCAATACCACGCCACGTCACGTACTAAATCTAGAGGCCCCTCTATCCTCTTAAGCAAACACATAAAATTTGAACCACAACACCATGAAACAGACGCCAATGGCAGGTATGTCCTTTTACAGGGCAAAATAAATGATATGACCTACACAATAATCAACGTCTACACACCCAACACATACCTACAGAGCATTCTTAAAAATACAAGCGCTATACAACAGGGAATCACGATAATATATGGCGATTTCAACCATATCATAGACCCCACATTGGACACCACACTATCACAACACAGGCGTCGACAACGCCCCCTGAACAGACAATGTAAAACCCTGCAGAAACTCATACACGAACACCATTTCTATGATGCATGGAGAACCACACACCCGGGGGAAAAAACATTTACCCATTTCTCACACGTCCACAACTCCTACTCTCGGATAGATGGGTTCCTCATCTCAGGGCAACACCTAAACCAAATCCACACCTGCTAAATAAAACAAATCACATGGTCCGACCATGCACCTGTGCTCCTCGACATGAAAAACTTGTACGACTTCAAACACCGTAGCCCCTGGAAACTAAATAACACATTGCTCCATAATGACGAATACATGAAAGAACTCGCAGACGACCTCACTTTATACTTTACACAGAACGACAACGGAGAAATGCCACCGACCACTATCTGGCAGGCACACAAAGCAGTCATACGAGGGCTGCTAATTAGAAAGGTAGCATACATAAAAAAACAGGCACAGATCACACTAAAAACATGGCAACGAGAGCTATACGACTTAAATAGGAGTAACCAACTACAACCAACGGCAGAAAACAGACATCTCATCATGACCATCTCTAGGCTCATACACCAGCAGGCACTAGAACAAACGCAAACCAACATGACAAGACTTAAAATATCACATTACATTCAGGGTAACAAAGCGAGCAAACTACTAGCTAACCAACTGAAGCAAAAACAAGCCAACCAAAAAATAGCCTACATCCTAGACAACAAAGGCCAGAAACACGCGACACCTAGAGAAATCAGTGAAACATTCGCCAAATACTACCACACCCTATACAACCTAAAAGGAGACTCGAACACGACACAACCCACGGACACCAGCATAAAAGCCTATTTAGACAAACTAGCCCTGCCACAACTCACGCCACAACAGCAGGCAGACTTAACCAAACACATAGATATACAGGAGATGCTTAAAGTCATCCAAACACTGCCGACGGGCAAATCACCAGGCCCAGATGGCCTGACAAACTTATACTACAAGAAGCTCAGCCACGTATTAGCACCCCACTTAACAACGGCTTTCAACCACGCTACAGCCCAGAAATCCCTCCCAAGAGAGATGTTGTTAGCACCCATCGTTACATTGCCAAAACCCAACAAACCACCCACAACGCCGAAAATTTTTCGGCCTATTTCACTCCTAAACACAGAGGCGAAGCTTTTCGCCAAACTATATGCTACGAGACTGGGACTAATCATACCACACATCATTCACAACGACCAGGTGGGATTTGTAAAAGGGAGACAGGGGTCAGACAACACAAGGAAAGCCATAAACCTGCTATACAAACTACAGACACAAAAAGAGGGGGGATTGTTCCTCTCTCTAGATGCCGAAAAGGCCTTTGACAGGCTACACTGAGGGTTTCTAAAAGCGGTCTTACGCAAGTTCGGAATGCCGGACGAATTTGAAGCAGTGGTGGACGCACTATACAGCTCACCCGAGGCACGAGTGTTGAACTCGGGGTTCCTGTCGGAGCCGTTTCGGCTCTCCAACGGAACACGTCAAGGATGCCCCCTATCGCCACTACTGTACATCCTAGCCCTAGAACCGCTAGCCACACGATTCAGAGAAAATGGCAACATACACGGGATACAAGTGGGGAAGAGGGAATACAAAGCAGGACTTTTTGCAGATGACATTATGTTGACAATCACACAGCCACATATCTCACTACCAAACATTCTTGCAGAAATAAAGGAGTATGGGGATCAGTCTTACTATACATTGAACGTTACCAAGACACAAGCCATGGGGATAAGGATGACTCAAGCCTCGATAGACAAACTAAAAGACAACTTTCAATTTGACTGGAGGGGGGATTACATCACTTTCCTAGGACTAAAACTGCCAAAACACCCTAATCAACTGTTGCAACTCAATTATGGCAAACTCCTGAAGGAGAGCGAAGAAACACTGAAAAGTTGGGAACACAAATTTCTGTCTTGGGTAGGTAGGATGACTGCCCTGAAAATGGTCTTACTCCCCAAGTTCCAATATCTCATAAGAACACTGCAGATTTTCCTCCCAAACAAGTACCTGACCAAGCTGCAACGCATATACACATCATTTGTATGGGCACACAAGAAAATAAGAGTGGCGTCAGCAATCCTGAGCAAACCCATCTCCCAAGGGGGCCTGGGCCTGCCAGCCGTACACCTATATTACGAAGCCGCCCTCCTGTCCACTAGTCTCACTCTACACACAGGGGGAAACAAGCCTCAATGGGCAGAGATGGAGGCTGCAGGGATATACCGGGGGGCATGAAATACATATTCTGGGTACCCCACAAGCTGAGACCCAAACAAAAAGATTTACTTCCAACCACTTCTTTACTCCTAGACACATGGGACACGAAGACAAAACTCCTAGGGCAAACCAAAAGTTGGGTGATGGCGACCCCGATACAGAGCTTGCACATCGTAAACCCCACTTTAGACCATCGCCCCTGGACCCAACGAGGGTGCACACGAATTGAACACCTCTACAAGGAGGGTAAACTAGAACCATACCCCACTTTGAAACAAAAATACCACTTGCCAAATGCCACTCTGTTCACATACCTCCAAATAAAAGCCCTTCTGGAGAATGAGACCACAATAACAACACCCACACCCTTAAAACAATTATATCACATATGCGTCACGGGTAACATACCAAAAAAGACACTTTCTCTACTCTACGCCATGCTAAATGACAACCCCAAAACACCACCAAAAGACAAATTCAAGGAGCACTGGCATGAGGACCTACATAAACATTTTACTGACAGCCAATGGCAAAAAGCCTTTATAGCCCACAAAGGGAGATCTAGATGTGCAGCACACTTAGAACTCATGAGGAAACTGCAATACAGGTGGTACATGGTGCCGATGAGACTAGCAACCATGTATCCACGAACATCAAAAATGTGCTGGAGGTGTGGGATGGAGGAAGGCAGCATGTACCACATATGGTGGACGTGTAACCAAATACAACCATACTGGAGAGAAGTAGGAGACATTATTCGATACACACTTGACACACAGGCGCCCCTCCAGCCAGAATGTGGTCTGTTGTTTATGACTTTAGAGACATACAACAGGCCACAAGCGATACTACTCTTCCATATCCTAATAGCCGCAAACACACTGATTGCAAGGGCCTGGAAACAAACCGCGAGACCGGAAAAAGCAGCATTACTGACCCAAATCTCTACCAATTTAATGTACGAAACCAAACTAAACGCCAAATTTGGAGCATCTGCTCACGCAAAACAAGCCAGAGACAGATGGGAAGAGGTGACGAGAACCACATGAAGTGGATACAGAACAGCCGGGCAAAGAGGCGGGAGACAGGGAGGGAGAGTGACATGAAAATGCTTAATAAACATTCAATTGGAAAAAAAAAGTAAAGGGAAAAAGGTGGTAAGGCGCAATAACACCTAAAGGAATATATGACAAAATGGAAAACTAAAGTAAACAGTGTGCAGGTCAGGAGCTCTGATACAAGTCAAGGCATCGTATGATGCAGGCTGGTCCAACATGATGAATACATTTAAAAGATTTTGGCCAATACTCACTTCGGATCCCCATATTGAGAAGGTTATTACACCATTCCCCTCAGTGACAGCACGCAGGGGCAGAAATTTGAAAAGCATGCTAGTCCCTAGCTATTTGGCCTCCTTAACCCCTTAAGGACACATGACATGTGTGACATGTCATGATTCCCTTTTATTCCAGAAGTTTGGTCTTTAAGGGGTTAAATAAGCACCTCAAACAATATCAACCCAGGGGTACATACAAGTGTGGCCACTGTAGTGAATAGTCTTTTACAGATAGCTTGTGGTTGAGTGACAGGCAACAGAGGGTTGTAATCAATGGAGTATACTCGAAACAAGGTCTTATTACCAGCAGGGTACCTCAGGGATCTGTACTTGGACCCATTCTCTTTAATATTTTTATTAGTGATATTGCAGGTCTTGATGGTAAGGTAGGTTGATGTTCCAGGAGGGATAAGCCAAATGGCAAATGATTTAGGTAAACTAGAAAAATGGTCAGAGTTGTGGCAACTGACATTTAATGTGGATAAGTGCAAGATAATGCATCTTAGACGTAAAAACCCAAGAACAGAGTATATAATATTTGGTAGAGTCCTAACCTCAACATCTGAGGAAAGGAATTTAGGGGTAATAATTTCAGATGACCTAAAAGTAGGCAGACAGTGTAATAGAGCAGCAGCCGAATGCTTGGTTGTATAGGGAGAGGTATTAGCAGTAGAAAGAGGGAAGTGCTCATGCCATTGTACAGAACACTGGTGAGACCTCACTTGGAGTATTGTACACAGTACTGGAAACCGTATATCCAGAAGGATATTGATACTTTGGAGAAAGTTCAGAGAAGGGCTACTAAACTAGCTCATGGATTACAGGATAAAACTTACAAGGAAAGGTTAAAGGAACTTAACATGTATAGCTTGGAGGAAAGGCAAGACAGAGGGGATATGACAGAAACATTTAAATACATAAAGGGAATCAACACAGTAAAGGAGGAGACTATTTAAAAGAAGAAAAACTACCACAACAAGAGGACATAGTCTTAAATTAGAGGGGCAAAGGTTTAAAAATAATATCAGGAAGTATTACTTTACTGAGAGAGTAGTGGATGCATGGGATAACCATCCAGCTAAAGTAGAGATTAACACAGTAAAGAAGTTTAAGTATGCGTGAGATAGGCATAAGACTATCCAAGACTTAAGATAAGGCCAGGGACTAATGAAAGTATTTAGAAAATTGGGCAAACTAGATGGCCGAATGGTTCTTATCTGCCGTCACATTCTATGTTTCTATGAAAAGAATATCATCCCCACTGTAAAGCATGGTGGTGGCTCACTAATTTTTTGGGACTGTGTGAGCTCTAAAGGCACGGGGAATCTTGTGAAAATTGATGGCAAGATGAATGCAGCATCTTATCAGAAAATACTGGCAGACAATTTGCATTCTTTTGCACGAAGGCTGCGCATGGGACACTTGAATTTTCCAGCATGACAATGACCCTAAGCGCAAAGCCAAGTTGACCCTCCAGTGTTTAAAGCAGAAAAAGGTGAAGGTTCTGGGGTGGCCATCACAGTCTCCTAATATTATCAAACCACTCTGGGAAGATCTCAAACATGCGGTTCATGCAAGAAGACCAAAGACTTTGCATGACCTGGAGGCATTTTGACAAGACGAATTTGCAGCTCTACCACCTTCAAGAATTAGGGGTCTCATAGACAGCTATTACAAAAGACTGCACGCTGTCATTGATGCTAAAGGGGGCAATACACAGTATTAAGAACTAAGGGCATGCAGATTTTTGAACTGGGGTCATTTAATTTTTTTTCTTTGTTGTCATGTTTTGTTTGTTTGTGCCATTCTGTTATAACCTACAGTTGAATATGAATCCCATAAGAAATAAAAGAAACCTGTTTTGCCTGCTCACTCATTTTTTTGGTACATATATTACCAATTCTCCAAGGGTATGCAAACTTTTGAGCACAACTGTACATGTATAATTATTGTGTTGCCAAATCGGCAACAGATAAAGTAAAAATATATCCCTGGTTGTACATGGTAGAGCGAATCGTGTATGTTATTAGTTGCAGTCCTTCACTATTTCAGCACTCTGTAAGGGAGTTGAGGCTAGATGTCAGAATTCCAAGCCTACACTCTGACTTTTTCACACAGCACCGGACAGAAAGCACCAGTATCCCACTGGGAACCATTGAATGTATTATTGCCACACTCCCTGCCCCAGGAGCTGGGCAAACATTATGTAAATAAATAAAAGGCATTAACCCTGTCACACCCACCCTGAAATAGGTAGATGATGCACAACAGTAATTGTTGAATAAGCGTGTGGGGTATTTTATCATGTTTGGTCTTACAACAACTTTTTTAATACATAGCTAAAATCATCTTGTGAGTGCAACAACGGTTACTTATTTCAGTTTGTTGTAGCCAATAAAAAAGATTACTACACAGGTTAAACTGTGGGATTCTGTGTAACATAGTAAAAAAAAAAAAAAAAACAAGGTAAAAGAACTAGGAAATGTAACCACTTTGTACGGGTATTGCTGCAGTGTTTTACTGACTGGAGTTAATAATGCATGCATGTAAGTGATACTAGTGTAATGAGAAACCATTAGATTATAAAAAAAAATAACCCACTGTACATAAAAAACAACAACAAAGCACTATTCTCAAATTCAGGACAATAGTGTAATTATGACCTATTTCTTGTTCTCTCCTATTTGACATTATACACCCTGCTCATTTACAAAAGTTCATAATTTCCCCAAAAATAAATAAATGATGCTGATGATCTGGCAGGATCCATGAGAGTACTCAATATCTGGCTCCGTGGATCTCCTGTTTCTAAATATTTAATGATGCATGTGTAAGAGCAGATAAACATGAACGTAAGATGCTAAGTGATCAGACAGCTTTCCAGAAAATCACCAAAATAAATAGACAGGGTTATTCAATAAAGTCCGAATGGCCCTGAACCAAATGGGGACAAACCATCCACCTGCACAGGCTGCACTTCAGACCCAGATTAAAGAAAAAAAAAATTTGTCCATTGGCAGCGTTAGCCTGCCACCACATTAATAAAGTGTTTTTTTTTAAATGGTGGGGACATGTATACTAAACATTAAAAACTAGTGACTGGACAACCATTGCTGCCCAGTCGCTATAGAAGGACTAAAGGTGGGGGCTACTTTTAATTCCTTTCCCCTGTCTATGTGTGTGGACTCTATTAATAATAAAAAGGGTGGAACCTATTGTGCCGTCCCTCGGCCCCCACCCAATACTGGGGGTTGTGGGCCCTAATATTTACAAAATAGGGAGACCTTTTGTCCTCTCCCCCGGCCTTAATCCATGCCGGTGGGTGGGGCCCTAATATTTATAAAATTGGGGAAGACCTACTTTCCTCTCTCCTGGCCCCCACACATGCCGGTGAGTAAGAGACCTAACATTAGCGAGAAGAACACTGAGGATAAATGGAATATCTTCCAACAATTATTAGAAAGGTACATATCTCAGTATGTACCATTGAGTAATAAATATAAAAGAAACAAACTGAAACCAATGTGGCTTAGTGGGAAAGTGAATCAAGAAATTAAAAATAAGAAAAGGGCATTCAAAGACTATAATCGGACAAATCAGAGGCATCCTATAAAAGATATAAGGAAGCTAATAATGTGTAAAAAGGCAATTAGATGCTCTAAACTTCAAAATGAAAAAATGGTAGCCAAAGAGAGCAAAACCAACCCCAAAGCATTTTTAAGTACATATATTGTGAAAAACAAAAAAATGAAAGTGTAGGTACACTAAAATGACGTAGAAGACACAAAACTCTGTAAAGTAATACAATGTGAGCAAGATATTACTTTGATGCAGAAGGATTTAGATAGACTGGGGGACTGGGCACTCAAATGGCAGATTAAATTTAATGTAGAAAAATGCAAGGTTATGCACTTTGGCGTCAAGAATGCACAAGCAACTTATACCCTTAATGGAAGCGAATTAGAGATGACCACACACGAGCGCTTGGGAATTGTTATAGACAACACACTATGCAACAATGTGCAATGTCAATCAGCAGTGGCTAAGGCCAGTAAGGTATTGTCATGCATGAAAAATGGCATTAACTCTCGAGATGAGAATATTATTTTGCCGCTTAATAAATCGCTGGTAAGACCACATCATGAATATGCTATGCAATTTTGGGCAACTGTTCTAAAGAAGGATATTATGGCGCTAGAACGAGTGCAAAGGAGGGCTACAAAATTAATAAAAGGAATGGAACATTTTACCTTTGAAGAAAGGTTAACAAATTGAAACCTCTTTACTTTAGAAAAACATTGCCTCTGAGGAGATATGATATTATACAAATATATTTGTGGCCAATACAAAACAGTGTGTGGAAATCTATTCACAAACAGGACTTTACACAGGACACAAGGTCATGCGTTTAGACTGGAAGAAAGAAGATTTAGTCTAAGGCAAAGGAAAGGGTTTTTTTTTACCATAAGAACAATAAGGGTATGGAATTATCTGCCTGAAGAAGTGGTTTTATCAGAGTCCGTACATATGTTTAAACAGCAACTAGAAGGGCTCCCTCGGCGCTGGGGACTCTCCTCCTCATTTGGCCACCATCGGCTGAATGCGCATGCGTGGCAAGAGCCGCGCGCGCATTCGGTCAGTCCATAGGAAAGCATTCTCAAGGCTTTCCTATGGACGCTGGTGTCTTCTCACTGTGAAAATCACAGTGAGAAGCGCAGAAGCACCTTTAGCGGCTATCAATGAGACAGCCACTAGAGGCTGGATTAACTCATATGTAAACATAGCAGTTTTAAACCTAGAGGGACCTGGCACCCAGACCACTTCATTAAGCTGAAGTGGTCTGGGTACCTATAGTGGTCCTTTAATAATAGTGAGGAAGGTGTCACAAAACCTAAAATCTGTAAAAATAAATTATGCTTACCATCAGAAGTCTTCTTTCTTCTTATCTTCAGCCTCAAAAATGTCCAAAGGCTAGTTGATTGGCCTTTTTGGGGGGCTGAAGAATTGGAAGAAAGGAAACTTCTGATGGTAAGTATATATATATATATTTCTTTTCTTTTTTTTTTTTACAGATTTAAGGTTTTTTTTGGCACCCTCTTCACTAATATTAAGGTGTGGAGTGTAGGTAATTCTTTTTCTCTCCAGCCCCAAAAATATTATTAGGGTGAAGATAATACTAACAATAGGTCCCCCCTTTATTATAGCTATTAGGGCCTCAACCACCTGCATTTGAAGGGTGTAGGGGAAGGGACTGTATGCCCCCCTTTATTATAACCATAATAGCCTCTACCTGCCAGCATGGGTGGGGCCTGGTAGAGCAGACAATAGTTGGTTGCTCTTTTAGTATAACTATAAGGGCCCCCATCTGCCAGCACGGGTGGGGGCCAGGGAAGGGAACAATAGGAGCCTCACTATTTTAGAAATATTAGGGCCCCCATCCCCATTAGGGATGATCATTTCTAGCCACATCTTCAATGTTCAGCCAACAGTGAAAGTGCCTTGATACATGCATAATGATTGTTTGTATGAGGAATGATTCCTTAAAATAGGTATTCCAAATATAATCACATTTGGAATACCTGTGCTCCCTCCATGTATCGCATGTTACAGATTACTTTGGTTTAGTTTTGATTTTCTTGTAAGCAGTAGAATATATATTAAGTGAAATTTGCATAACTTTTAGAAACTTATGTAAAAAAAAAAAAATAGTGGACTTGTGTGGAAAACATACTGTAATTTGGGAAGGATTGTCATTTTTATTCCTGCCACACTACTCATCAAAGAAATATCATATTTAATCAATTTATCTAAATCTATTTTGAGTGCCACATACAGTAATTTTCTAAACGATGCACCCAACTGAATACCTAAATATGAAATACAAGATGCTCTCCAGTCCAATATATAGTTCTCCTTAAGTATAAAAACTAAGTCTGAAGGCAAATTCATTGTTAAATATCAGTTCTGACACAAATTGCATTGCAAGCTTAGTTTTTGCATGAAAGTAAAGTACAACATTAAAACTAGCAAATTCATGGCTAGTACGCAATTAAAAAATACTGCGTGTTATAACGCCAGTAGTTATGTCTGAGCATGACTGTGAAATACCAAATACTAATGATAAATATGAAGTCCATTTTACCTCTTCCTCCTTTAACTACACAAATTAGAGGTAAACAACCAGTTCTGGAAGGTAACGCCTGCTCAGATTAAGTTTTTTCCCAAGACTTGAATGTCTCCGAGATATGAGCAATGTTAATCCCTACAGAACTTGGTTCTGTAGAGAAGAAGTATGACTTGACAAAAATGTTAGCTGTATGTCATTTGCTAAATTGTTTTTGTTTTTTTCAGAATAAAATGCAATCACTGATTTATTTGATGTCTGTCTTTAAAGGACCACTCTAGGCACCCAGACCACTTCAGCTTAATGAAGTGGTCTGGGTGCCAGGTCCTTCTAGGGTTAACCCATTTTTTTATAAACATAGCAGTTTCAGAGAAACTGCTATGTTTATGAATGGGTTAAGCCTTTCCCCTAATCCTCTAGTGGCTGTCTCATTGACAGCCACTAGAGGCGCTTGCGTGCTTCTCACTGTGATTTTCACAGTGAGAGCACGCAAGCGTCCATAGGAAAGCATTGTAAATGCTTTTCTATGCGACGGGCTGAATGCGCGCGCAGCTCTTGCCGCGCGTGCGCATTCAGCCCAGGAGGAGGAACGGAGGAGGAGAGGAGGCAGAGAGCTCCCCGCCCAGCGCTGGAAAAAGGTAAGTTTTAACCCCTTTCCCCTTTTCAGAGCCGGGCGGGAGGGGGACCCTGAGGGTGGGGGCACCC